AATAAGAGTTTCTCAAGGAGTTGAAAGGAACACTGTACGGATATTACTAAAATTACTCTAGTCATACGACCACTGACTAACAATCTAGCATGTATACTATTCATATAAATTAGAAGCTTCAACAATGAAGGAATTAAAAACAACACAGTACGGCTATTACTGACATTACTCTAGCCATACAACCACTGTAACAAGTTGAGTTCAAACTACAACTTGTATAGAAAAATAAATGTTAACAAAATATTAAGTAAATCTGCGTGATTATGAAATATTTTCCTTATACAAATTAACATGTTACTTTGAAGCCGGTTAAAACACTGCTTGCACCATGCTTTCTCCTGGTATAACAGGTAGGCTAATATTTCAATTCTACCAAAATGTAGATACTTTTCACTAAAAATTAATACATACATGTGAACCAAAAAGTTACTTATTCATCATTTTCAGTTACAACCTGCGAGCTCAATAATATTTCAGTTCTAAATTTAAATACCGAATATATGTTATCACTAACACCAATGAAAATGTCGAGTAACAACATGTATTCCTTTGAAAAGGAACAAGTTAGTAATCCCAGGTCTATTTCATATCTCGAAACCTTAAGTTTCAGAATAAATTATTATTTATTAGCTATTAATTGTATTTTATTCATGTTCATAATGCGACATGCATGAAAGAAATCATATTTCATGTCATAATAAGTTTTAAAGACCAAATATATAACCATACAGATATAAAACCATAAAGCCAGAATCACAAATTGCTTTCAGCTTAGAAATGAATTAGACTTCCTGGCGACTTTTCAGTCATGTCAACTGTAAATGTCCTATTATTACAATAAATAACATCTGCTGTCTTAGCTACACCTTAGTCAAGTGGCTATCACGTGGTGTATGTAGTGCGTACATTATAACATCATTTGACACCGTGAAAATTTAGGGTCATGACGCTGTTTTTAGTTGCTGATTAATCAATTAACTGAACTTTCTAGCTGCGCAATAATTAGCAATTATACGTGCAATTTCCTGTAGACGTCTTACCGTGAACAAGAGCTTGATAGCTTAGGGGAACCACTAATCTATCAGTCAAATGATCTATTATCTTGGCTGGTGGCCAGTCAAATAAAGATCAGAATGTCAATGTCATAGTCTTGGCTGATCATGGAAGCTCCTCTACCTACGTTTCCACTCCTGACCTCTCCCGGACATTCAGTTAAGAGCTGGTGTGAACATTTGTAATGAGAACAAATGTACAAACGTTTTATTTAAATCTTCACGTTGACATCTGTAATTATTGTTTTATATTTACTGTAAGGAATTTGCTGAAGATGAAATGAGTGTATATCGAAACGTTCAATAAATATTTTATTATCAGTGATGAAATTCGAATTTAAAGAAGCACAACTACTCATCTTTGCCAGATTTTCAGGTGAAATTGATTTCCTCACACAGTATTAGGATACGTATATAACAAGACGATATAACGAAGTAATCCTGAATTTAGCTAAAATAAGTTTAAGCAAAGAAATAAATGGATCGGACTCAATATACAATGAAAACAGTTTATTACATCTAAGTCAAAACATAGTGTGTACTAGCTTAGTAGATGTTGGACAGTCGTCTTTCACTGAATTCGTGAGTTTATTAAAATGACACACTTTCCTTGAGATTATTTCCGCTTACCAGTTCATCCAGGATCTGGTGTATAGATGTTTAAATCTGACGTTTCTTATTCACTGAAAAATATTAGATTTACCTAATACGACTAGTGTTACCCCGTGGTGGTCACTTTCAAAAACATGGGAGGCCGTAATCCAGAAATATCATCTGGCCTACCGTTGGAAGACACTGACTATAGACATTTTAGCACAACGTTCAGAATTATAGCCATGTATCATGCGGAACAGGTTCTACCTCCATAGGATGGCAAAGAAACAAAGACAGATACTACTAAATAAATTAAACGAATTGTTTTACCACGTGTTATGCTAAAACTATAAAGACATAAAATGAACATTTTTTTTTAAACTTCTATATTAAAATACGAAGGTAGAAAACTCTTGATATACCTATATACCAAACCAAGACCTGGCCTCACAGTGTTGGTCTTTCGAGATTCACTGATTTCCGTTAAAGTAATTTTGTAGGAACCACAGAGTAAGTGAAAGCTCAATAGATAATGTGTTATAGACCATAAATCTTACTTGGACTGAGTCTGACACAGACAAAGACGCTGGACACGAGTTTGCAAACAGTAGAATAGTCTTGACTAACCCAAACAACAATCATTTAGTGGAAAGAGAGAGAAAAAAAAGGGATGTTGTATTATCTTAGAGTTTTAAGCTCTTTTTAAGTAACTTGTAAGGTTTAATTGTACTGTTTTAAAGTTGAAAGTTCAGATTAAATGTTGTTGCAGAAGATAAAGTTGTTCAATATTAAAAAAAAAACATCATTATATACCATTCTTCACAGGTCACAAGTGTTACCATGTAAATAACGATCACTCTCACTCCAAAGTAATGGATGTAATTTTGAACTGATAATATTAAACAGAAAGCAGCTAATCAATAGCACTCACCACCAAATCTTGAGCTATTCTTGTGATATTTGACCATATGTTTATGAAACATTCCTGGCCCTAAAGTGCCATGTGCGAAGGGATACGAACCACGAATTCTCAGATACACAGCCTGAGCACAGCCTACCCAGTAGCTAATATTGTTATAATATGCATGAAGTGAATAATTGTTTGTACCGCAATTCCAAAACGGCAAATTGATATAAAAAGAAACACCATTAATTAATAGTTTACAAAAGCGGTTGCTATATTTGTAGCCATTTATGGCGAAATTATAAATTAATTTCCCAGTGGACTATCATTCATGACCAGAATTAAAACTCATTTGATGTTGAGGAAATTAACTGAATTTTTTTTCAGTTGATATTAAAAACTTAAATTGGGATAACTAGATATTTTACACGTTCACGGAAAAACATTAAAATCGAAGAATATATTAAAATGGGTAGTTTTCTTATGTCGCTTGTTATCATTTATAATAAATGGCTTCTCACAAAATACAATATGTTAAAGTGTTGTCCAATCCTTCTTGTTGTGAGAAATAGCTGAAACTGAAGAAAAACATCTTGTAAAATTAAAATCAATGAAAAGAACATCGAACTTCTTGTTTTTTGTTGGTGTTAAAAAGAAACGTAATAAATAATTAATTTAGATCAGAAATAATTTTAAAACATTTTTTAAATAATCATTTGAAAATTAAACGTATATTAACTTCGAGTATAGGTAGTTTTTGTTTTAATTTTATTGATATCTGGAAAGTGTGCTGAAATAAAATGGAAGGTAAGAACAGAAAGAGAGAATCTAATCCATGTGTTAGTACCAGACATATTTATATCGGTTCATTTCCTCGCACACTGAGTTAATTTGGCATGTTTAACAAAACTAGAAAAATAAAACAGAAATGGTTCTTTATTTATAATTCTTGTAATAAACGAACATAAAAGATATTGTAACTTTCTAAATAGCGTGAAGTTTTAGCAATTGTCAATAAAAATAAAAAATAAAAACATATATAAAAGTAACTTGAAGTATCTATAATTACAACACAATTCCCCTCTACTGCCTTTACATTACTGACACTGCAAATAATGTTGACTCTATTTTTATTTTAATCAATGTTCAGTAACTTGAACTATATTTAATCTCGATATAAAACATTCACTCTAATATACCTTAACTGTGTAGTACTAACCTTAATTAACGTATGCCATGAATAACTGGAAACTAAGAAAACAAATATTTAAGACTTATGTGGGTGTAATTGTTTTAGCGTTAACTGGCTTGTAATATAACACATATCGTTCATGGGTAAACTACTATTTACATAAATAAAAGAGTATATGTTTAAATCAGTTTACCTTATGACAATAAGTACAATTCTTGTAAAGAAACTAAAAATATGGTAGAAAGTAAAGTTATTATACTATACAGTAAGTATAAAACATATAAATGGAGAAAAACACCATTGTATTTCAAAATATTTAAGAACAAATGCAATTT